GAATTTTGATCTTGATGTACAACATTGTATTTGAAAATTGGAAAAATAAAATATAAAAATTCAACAGGCCTTGTCAGTTTAATTTAAACATTTTTGGCTGAAGACTTACTGCCTAAATATACCATATATGAGTGTGCGTGTGTTCACTCACTCACACACAACTCCATAAGTACATCTCTCCAGGCAGCACTTCCTTCATTGAATTTAAAGATCAATTCCTGATGTCTGAGACAACCACAAAAAGAAATGCTCAAGACCAAACAATTTTTTTAACTTTATTTCTACTTTAAATATGCCTTAGTGTTATATTCTATTATAATAGGTGTGATTTGAATATATATATATATATATATATAAATAAAATATAAAATAAAAGAAAACAACAGTAAGATATATAATCCGGTGTTCTTATAGATATTTTTTTATTTTTTACAAAATAGTGCTCAATGTAAATTTACAGAGCATTAATATTGAATTGGATTGAATTGGATTTCTCTGTATCCTTGGAAACAAGAATTATGATTTTTGCTGTGTCTTTAAAACCCTGTAATTTTAAAAGTTACTCCAAAATTCGCTTGAGGATGAAATGAAACTAATGTCTTTAATTACAAAATTAAATTCGGAGCTTTTAGCTTCCATTTTTGAAACATGGTTAGAACTGTGTAGCGAAAAAAAACATTTTAAATCAATTAATTTATAATATATATATGTGTGTGTGTGTGTGTGTGTGTGTGTGTGTGTGTGTGTGTGTGTGTGTGTGTGTGTGTGTATTAAATAGACAGAAGATAACGATTGACATTGCATTTAAATTTTTGAAGATCAAAGTTGACTGGGAAGCAAGAAGCCAGAAGAGAGTCCCAGAAGTGAGAAGTTTGATAGAAAAAATTGGTGGCATTTTTTAGCTGTGAAATTAGATCTTGCTACCAATCTAGTACAGTGCTTAAATCCATAAAGTCTAGGTACTATAGCAGAAAGTTCATCAGAACAATTACCATGAAAGTATTTATAGAAAAGGCACAGGGAAGTTATGTTATGACAGTGGGAAAGGGACTGAAGCTGAGATGACAAGTCAGGACCAATAACATTGCAGATTCTTCTTTGGATTTTATCAAGAATCTCTAAATACATAGCGGAAGCATCAGATGTGGCAACAATATTCAAAGCAAGGATGAATGGTAAACTTATAAATATGTAAGATAGAGTCTGGCAAGAAAAATTTGTTTGCACTTGATACAAACTCTACACAGTATTCTTCAAACATGTTTGTTTTAGCATTTCTTTTTTTGTGTTTTAACCATTCTTCCATCAGCCAATGAAAATATATTTCTTCTGTGAATTTTTTTCTTCTGGTTTCTTCTTGAGAGGTTGTTTGGAATTTTTAACTTTCTTTAGTTTCGTAAGACATTATTTGCCATCTTATTTCTCCCTCACTTTTCCTTAATTATATACCATAATTCAAAGCCTAAACCAAATGTTTCCAAACTGGTATAACTGGTTTAATAAAATGTAAAATTTCTAGAGACTTACTTCATGGTCAGTCCTCAAAAATTCATTGAGAACTATTTCATAGATATGGGGACTAAGCAGGGGGTTTCCACAAGGTAGATATGGTGCTAGGACCTGAAATATACAAAAGTTATTAGTGTATTAAATGAAAATATTTTCATTATGTTACTTTTTCATATAAAAATCTATTTGTTATATAATAAAAATGTAAACAAAAGCAAAAATAATGATTTTTTTTCACCAAATTTGTCAACATTTAACCACATATAACATATATTCTGTTGATTTTGGGATCATAGTTCTTATGTGAATATTAATCAGTATTCAAAGAGCTTTTTAAAGATATACAACTTGACCATATTGGGAGATATGAAAATGTTAGCATCTAGTGGCAGATCCACCATTTTGAATTTGGTCCAACTCAGTAAAACCTTTATAACTCAGGTCACAGTCAAAAGACCACCACAAAACTTTGTATATATCTTGCCATAAGTCAGATAAATTTGTTCTCAAACTTAAAAAAAAATTAAATATACGCTTTTTGAGAAATTAAAGGTCAATGGTTACAGTTAAATTATATTATTTGACCTTTAAACAAAAGATAGATGACCTTTTAGAGCTATCCAAGTACTTTAAAATGGCATATAATTTAGCTTTGTAGGTGAAAAAAACAACCGAGATATTTAAACTTTGTGACTATTTTTCAAAATTCACCATTTTGGTAAAGGTCATATCTTGGGAACCCTTTGACTGAGAGATGTAAAATAGGTACCATTCAATTCATATTTTGAAGGTCTAGAAGTGTACCAAATTTTCACAAAACATCTGTGTAATGATGGTCAGACTGTTGTTGATTTGAGATGGAATGAGTCAGCTGTGAAATCATGCAATGCATTAATTTCAAATCTTTGTATTAATAACTGCACATCAAGGTATCTCTGGTTTTGTTCTTTTTTTTAATTATTTTTTTAAATACTGTTGTTACCCATTAAAAATTCAAAGAGCCACTCAAGGTAGAGGGTTACTGATATGTCCCAGAAAGGGATATATTTGTTCGAAGTAGCAAAGTAGTTGTTGACTACTGTAGCCAGGTAGGACAATTTAGCAGGTAACCATAATGGACTGGTCCTCGTTGTAGTGGTAGGCAATAGGCATAGGCAATAGGCGAAGACAATAGGCATAGTCCCTGTATTTCCACATCAGTGTGTATTTATGGCTGACACCAGCCAATCATATTACAGTGAGGGGGAACCCAGGTGTATGCATATTCCTTACATCAGTTACTGAATGAGGTGTAAGGTGCATATTATGGAGATAGATATCAGTTTAAACGAGACTTGAAGAGGCCAAGATTGTAGTAGTTGGGAATGCACCCTCTTTGGAATCTGTTCCACAAAGCAACAGATCTGAGGAATTAGCTGTCACTGTGAAGATTCCTCCTTACCAAAATGAATATGAAGGGAATGAATATAATTTGATATCACATATGTGTCACAGTGAGTCCTAGATGTGAAGGTCTGAACTGGGGGAAGTAACAAATGTAGATTGTTTGAATATTTGCCTGAGTAATAGCAGAAGAGTAGCCTGAGGCTAGCAATGTTTTCTCTGTTGAGAAAATGGTTGCAGGGTGAAAAATAATTTATCACCCACACTGTCACCCATAGAGTAAATAAAGTGTACCCACTAAAAATAATGTTTAAAGTAATAAGAAATAATGTCAGATTATAAATCACTCGACCTGTAACCCATTAGGGTTGTTGAGGCATCACATGTACTGCAGTTATAGCAGGGGTACTCATTCAGTAACTGATAGCCTGACAGAGACCAGCCCTCCTCAGGCTGGTTTTGAATTCAGAATTTTTCTTCTAGATCAGTTTTCACCCAAGGTGATAGAACCTACTTATTTCTGTTATTTACCCATAGAGGGGGGTAGAAGAGAGAGATTCATACCTTTTCTAAGGGTATTAGCATGTAAGTGAATGTAATGGACTTGAGTGAAATTTAAACTTGACTCTGATTCCTCAAACCAAGCTGCTGTTATTCCAATTCTTACTTATAAATAAAATTTATTAATTTCTTAGAAATTAGTTTGATCATGTTTTGGATGCTAGCAGATATGGTCTTCGAGGGATAAAAAAAAAAGAGAAAAAAAAAAAAAAGATGTGCCCTGAATAACTGAAGAAGAACTGAACTTGATGGCCTGTGAAAGCTTTTCATGGCTGATTGGTCTAAAACAAGTCAGGCTAGACAATGGTTTCCCCTAAAAAAGAGGAATGCACATTTTTATCCCGCCAGAAGTTACATTTTCATTAAAACTCAAAGGCACAGGCCAGTAGATGGAAATCTACACTGATTAACCCTTTAGTATTCAATACGCTCAAATCTGCCCCATAAATATCAGCTCTCAATGTCCAACCTGCTGTAACCCAGTCCATGTATACTCTGTCATAATATATGACAACATCATTGCAAATAAAGCAGGAAGTCACACAGACTTTAACTACATGCTACTTTTACCATCACTTCTTTGTTCAATTAGTGAAGGAAAAGTTTTATAATTTGGCAACAAGAAATCAAGCATGACAATGAAATGTAGTCAAGTGATTCAGAGCACTCTAATAATCCATTAAATCCTTAATTTAAGAAAAAAGTCTTAAGAAAACATCTCTTCAAATATGTGTATTCACTAAATATGAAATTTATAATTATATATATATATATATTTTAAAGTAATTATATATATATATATATATATATAATTTAAAGTAATTAATATATATATATATATATATATATATATAATTTAAAGTAATTATATATATATATATATATATATATATATAATTTATAAAATAATTATATATATATATATATATATATATATATGGTGGGCTCTCACATCATATTTGACATATGGGGGTCAAGCAGCTCAGTTCCTAGGAAACAACAGCCTAGACACCAGCACACATGATTTGATTATAGTAGTGAAGGCAGAGTTGTCCTTCTCCTAGACTAGTTCCCATCCAAGACTACAGAACCCAGTCTGTCTTGCTATTTACCCATAGCTGGAGGGAGAAAAAGAGGATTAATACCTTTCCCAAGGGTATTAGCATGTAAGTGAACGTAATGGATTCAACTGGAATTCAAACTCGGCTCTCTAGTAATTGAATTAAAACAGTTCCAGAGTATAGCCATTTTTATCTTGAGAAATCAAGAATCACAATGAAAAGGTGTCTAGTGATTCAGAGTGCTTATCTGAGGTACATACAGCTCAGGTTATTCTAGAATTTAAGGAAAAAAAATGGAAAAACTAGAAGAAATGCAAGATGAATCAGGTATCAACATTTCAGACATTAACAGTGACAAACTGACTGATTCAGCTGGGCATAATAAAGTTGACACATGTCAGATCTTGAGTGAAGAAAGGATCTCTATGATGTCAATTTGCTAGCATTTTTGGAACCTAATAAGCATACACATTCATTGTCAAAATAAATTCAACCCTAATTTTGATTTTAAAAATGCTACACTCATAAAAAAAGAAAAGAACTCAAGGATTTTCCTTCTAAAATCCTTGAGAGTGCCACCATTGAATATTATCCAAATATTCATCTATGTCAAGGCCTTTTCCCTATTTCACCTTTCCTAACAGAATTACTACTCTCCCAAGCAAACGTACACAACAGTATAAAAAAATCAAAAGAAAATGGTTGAATCTGTCAACACAACAATAAAATCAATATCTCCACTTGATGTAATTTTCAGTTAACAATATGAATATAATAGCATACTCTAAATTCTTACAGTTGCTAAGGACATTTTGTTTTGTTATTATTAGTTACTTTGTTTAATAAATTCATTTCATTTTTGCCTTTTTGGCTAATATTACAGTTTTCCTATTGTCTTTTACATTTATATATATATATTAAATTTAATTTCTGAGAAAAAAAATTTACCAAAGAAAAATTTACAGCTGAAAAGATGAAAGACATAAACAAAAGCAAAATTACATGAACATGTGTGTGTAAAAGAATTTTAAATTCATGAATATGCACATGTACAAAACAGAGCAAAAAAGCAGAATAAAAAAGACACAGAAGACTCTGAAAAAAAAAAAAAAAAAGAAAAATTGGAAATACCGTTTAAAACCATAACCCCTGAAGACTGGAAATTTTATCAAGAAACATCAATGTTGGGATAAAATTGATATTTAAAAGTTAAGTAATCTTTTCATATATATATATATATATATATATATATATATATATATATATAATTACTATAAAAAGGTTATTTTTAGTGGGTACACTTGTTTGAGTTATTACCTGTTCTTTTATTAAACAGTGAAATTAATAACAATTGGCCTAAACTGAGAAGTCCAATGAAAGAAAAATTCAGTTTCCAACAGGCATCCTCCATTTTTTTTTTTTTTAAATCAAATAAATGGTAAATATGAGCAGTGCAGACCAAGTTCTTTTATTCAATGAGTGACATGCTACTGTTGGAAAAAATTAATTTTCTCCCTTGCTCTCACTTATCCTTGAACCCAAGGCGCTCGACTGGACTACTGACATGCCACAGTCTATAATGTCGAGTAGATAGGTCACACCCATGATTTTTATTGAAATTTTGGTGAAAAATAAGTGTGTTCTATCCTTAAGCATATACAGTAATTATTTTTGGAAAACTCATGAATTTTTAAAGAATTACTCAGCACTTCAATCTCTTGAAGTAAATTATTTCAGATAGACAACCAATACATATTTTTAACTTAGACCATAAGCAATAAAATTTAACTGTAGAATCTTACCTTTAACTGACCAATGTCGTTGAATTTCTCAAACGTTGACTCCCATAGCTCTTTCTTGCGCCCAAGAATCCGTGCACACAACTGAGCTGCTTCGTTAAAATTTTCAGCTTCCAGAAGATGCTCGAGGTACTGCTTCCCGAGTTCCTAAAACACAAAGATTTTTACTTTTTGTAATAAATATGAACAATACTACAATTTCTTTTTTTTTTTTTTTGTACAGATATCAGAATGTCTTAGAAAAGAAAAGTGTTAGAAAGATGTGACAGATTGTTGTATCAGATCACATCTTACATGTGCTTGATCACTATCAACAGCAAGGAGATTCTTCTGTGTGCTGTGTCCCTTCAGGAAGTTGACAATCATGGCTCTCCACAATTTCCTGTCCTTTGTAGCTCTTAATTTGTTATTTCTCCTAAACCCTGTTCTGCCATCTATTTACTCAAGTTCACTACATAGGTTATGTAGTGTTTTCTTCTAATCCTCTTGCCTTCAAACTGTCCTGTGAATATAAAATTTTCCAAGCCTTCTTTCCTCATTACATACCCTAGAAATTTCAACTCTCTCTTTCTAATGTTAAATATAAATTTTCTTTTTGTTTTCACTAACATCATTGATGCTCATATGTTCATTCCATGATATTCTCAGCATTCTTCTATAGAACCAACATTTCTCTTGCTTCAAGTCACTTCTTCATCTATGAGGCAGATTGTCCAGCATTCACTGCCATATTGGAGGACTGATTATGCAGCACTTCAGTAATTTTTTTTTTGTTTCTAACAAAAGTTTCCTGTTTCTTAATACTTTGCTTAGCTTTTGGAAGTCATGTTTTGCTATTCTGAGGCACCTTTGGATTTCAGTATCACACTTTCTGTCCTCTGTTAACACTTCCCAGATAGTTAAATTTTTGCCCCAGTTTGGTTTTGGCATCTCCAATTTGTAATTTGCATGTTGGGCTGTTCTTTTTGCTAATGATATGTCCCAGAAAGGGATATATTTGTTTGAAGTAACAAAGTGGTTTTTGACTACTGTAACCAGGTAGGACTATCTAGCAGGTATCGGTAATTGACTGGTCCTTGTCGTAGTGATAGGCAATAGGCGAAGACAATAGGCGTAGTCCATGTACCTCCACATCAGTCTGTGATTATGGCTGACACCAGCCAATCATATTACTGTGAGAGGGAACCCAGGTGTATGCATATTCATTACATCAGCTAACAACAATGCATTTTATCTTCTTGAAATTGACGTTTAGTCCTTTCTTCTCGCTTTCTTTCACTGCCTTCTGTAGGAGTTCTTGTAGTTTATTTTCTGTGTTTGCTATCAACACTGTGTCATTTGCATATCTTATATTGCTAAGATTGTGGCCAACAATATTAAATCCTGACAGGACTTCTAATTCTCTCAGAATCACCTTACTGCAAAGGTTGAATAAATCTGGTGAGAAGGTATATCCTTGTCTTACCCACCTTTCTATTTTTGTATATTTACTGACTTCAATGCAATTTAAATTAGATTGTGTATTTTCATTTATTTGCTTCAAGTGTTTTTTTTTTTTTAAATTACTGTAAAGAATTTTTTTAAGAATCCCTTCACTGTATAGCTTGAGTGAGTCTGGTAAAAATTTCAGTAGTGGTGCTACCATGAATTGTACAAAGTTCACATGGATTGAAGTTGGCAAAATATTATGGTCACTGAATCTAATCATTCAACGTAATGTCCATTCAGGGGACAATACAAGGAGAGCATGTTTTGCAAGAAAAAAAAATATTCAAAATTCTTGATCCAACAAGAAAGTGGGCAGAAATTTTAAAATACAAAGAAATCTCTCATTGCAAAGAGAGAATTATTCAAAAAGTGGCTTAACAAATGTAACATTTTGATTAGTTGAGACTCAGTCATGAAAGAAAAAAAATTAAATTAAGCAAAGAACAGTTATAAAATTGCTGAAGAGACTGATGTATAGTTTCTTCTTTGTCAGGCAAGGAAAATTAGTCAAGGTGTATGATTACTTATGTTTAGAAAGGCTAGAGACATTGAGATGTAGATGATTTAGACATGGAGTAATAAAAAGAGACAAGTAATGATGATTAAGCAATCTGTTTTGGCTTTTACAACTGAGCTCAACAAGAACCAACCTATTGCAGTTTGTAATCAGCATAAACAACCAAGTTTCAAGAAATAGAATAAGAAACTTTTTTTTTTTTATTTACCTAACCCTAACCATTTACATAGTTTGGACAATTGTCTTCATCTTTATTGTCATATTCACAACGTTTCGGGCGTTGTACACTCTGGCCTTCTTCAGGATCTGTCTATATTTCTGAGATGAGGCATTGTAACTATTTACACTATTTTGACAGTTGTCCTCATCTTTATTGCCATATTCATGTTTTGGTTGTTGTACATTCCAACCTTCTTCAGGTGATATATGTTGGAATACTGAACCAAACCTTTTATTTAGTCCATGGGGGTGGGGTTTAGGTTGTTTTAATTCCACACCTTTTGTTTTGATATTTCAGTATCAGTTAATTCCCTTTTGGAACTCAACTTCAGATATCATCAATTTACAATTGAGCTGGTTAGATGTAGCTGTAAGTTCGAGGCTAACAGTTCATTTCTTGCACTTCTCACTTGTGAGACTTACTTTTGGCTCCATGTTTTCTGGCCAACTTTAATTTGCAAAACTTTAAATGTAATGTCAATTGCTATCTACCATCCTCCTGATTACTCTTTTCTCTTCCCACTCATTACTGCCTTTACTGCTTTGCACAGGGTGAAATCAATTAAAAAAAAAAAAAAAAAAAAAAAAAAAAAAACACACAAAATGTCAAAAGCCCAACTTTCAATTTTATGAAAGTAAATGCGTAGAACCAGAGTAAAATAGAAATATCTAGTTCATTTATAGTCTCAGTTAAAAAAAAAAAAAAAGGAAAGAAAAAAGTTCATTTATGATGAAGCAAATTAAATTTTTCCTTTTCAGGAAGTTCCATTAGATATATTAAGTCTAACAAGGCCTTGTGCCAAAGTTTTAAGAGTTCAACAAATATCTTTTTATATTAATCTATTTTTCAAGTAAACCTATTTTCAATTAGCCAAAGATTTTTATTTTTCTCTGTTGATTAGTAATTAGTGAATCAAAATTAATCAATTTTGACTATTCAAGTCAATCCTTCTTAATCAAATCTATTTCTTTCCTGACATAACCTTCCCTCTGTCCCAGAAAGTCAACACTTTCACTGATGAATTCTGAAATCTTAAAAACAAGATACCGGATATAATTTAGATTTTCTTTTACAAGTATGAAATTTAAAAACAAAAACAAAATCAATAATTTGAATGAAATTAAATCACTTTTTTTTATGTCCAACTTATTTAGAAATGTCTAATCTAACATCTGTGTACAATTGTTTTCTCAGATCAATGATTAAAATGGCTTCAAGTGAACAAAACATTCAGGTCTTGAATAAGACAACCCATATATATATATATATATATATATATATATATATATATATATATATATATATATATATATAGTGTGTGTGTTCACACTCACTCATACATTCACACACAAAGTAATAGTATAGTATAGTATGCTTAGCTCCAGAAAAAGGTCAATTCTTGATGTCATCCCCCTGCCAAAAATGTGATCAAGGAGACCAAGCATTTTTTAAAAAATTTATTCCATGTAGGTGTGGGATTTTTCACTTTAAATATGCCTCAGTGTTATATGCTATTTTTAGAGTAAGTGCTATTTGAATGAATGATGAAAATATATATATATATATATATATATATATATATATATATATAAAAAAAAGAAATCGAGGTAATCAAAAACGTTTTTGGTTGTAATGTGGATTTATTGAAAAAAATATTATACTTTGTTTTACATAATTTCCCGACCGTGTTTCTGGTCTGGTCTACTTGACCGTCTTCAGGTGAAAATGGAATTTTTACATATTATTAAAAACAATTAATTTTTTTCTTCATGTTCAATATGGAATATTCTCGATATGAAGACATTCTGTTTAATATGTTGGCAATCCATTTTCTTTTCTAAGACGGGTCAATGAAACATTCTGTCGTGAAATTATGTAAACAAAGTATAATATTTTTAAAACATTTTAACCAAAAAAACATTTAAAGTCCTCTCTTCTTTTTAATATACATACTTTTCTCTCGTTGAACCACTAAAACATTTTTTTTATATATATATATATATATATATATATAAACACAAATACAAATTAAAAAGTGTAATTAATAATACAATAGATAATATTGTTACCTCATCATTTTGTATCATGGACTGCTTTTAAAAGGACCCAACAGGTTTATGGGTGGTATAGTTTTCAATTCAAACCTCAACATGAACTCTGAAAGGTCAACAACTCTTCCACGTAGTCCTTCCATCCTACATATACTACAGTTCAAAAGTTTGAGGCCATCCCTGATAATTTTTTAAATTAGCTCCAATAGTAATTGTTTTATACTTTAAATAAGACAAAATTATTATACATGTTTAAAAAAAAATAGTGAGACATGATTTTTTTATTAGAAATTTTATTATAACAAAAAAAAAAAGAAAAAAAAAGCATTTTATGATTAAATTTTCCTCTCATCAAAATATCCTCCTTTAGCCTTGATTACTGCAGCACAAATTTTGGGCATTTGTTGCAAAAGTTTCTCAAAGTATAAGTTTGATAATTGATTCCATTCTTTTTTTTTTAATGACTCCAAGAGCTCTTTTTCATTTTTTTTTTTTTTTTATTTTCTGTCAAGTTCAAGGTAAATTCTGATGGTCACTTCAAACTTTTGAACTTTAGTGTCGGTAGGTGATTTTAAAAAAAAAAAAATATTACATGACTGGCTCCTTTTTGGACTCGTTCATAACATACATTCTTTAAATTCCCCCATCAGACGTCATCATTGAATTCCCCCATCAGAAGTCATCAGTGATGTTTTCCTCACTTCAGTAAACATTTAGTGTTTTTCATCATCAGACTCTTTACCTCACTGATCAAGCACAAACTCTCATCTCGGTGTTTGCATGCTACATATACTTCGAACATGCTTGTTTTTTTTTTCCCTTTTTGGAAGGTTTATGAATGTATATGAATATTGGAAGGTAATTTTTAGAAAGAATTTACCAAGTAATTATCGATAAATCTCTTAGATAAAGCTTTAGCATTATAATACATTTTTGATTTATCTTTCTTACATCTTAATTCAGTTGATATTTTTTTTACACAATTAGTAGAAAATGGAAACAAAATGGATACTTATACTTAATATCAGGAAGAAATTTTTAGGGCACATAATGAGGAAAACAGGCTTGGAAAGTTTGATACTCACAGGATATTAAATTGTATAACCTATCTAGTGAGCCTCAGTAAATAGATGGTGGAACAAGGTCTAGGAGAGATAACAAAAATACAAAATTTATTAAGGACAGGAAATTGTGGTGATCACCAACATCCTGAAGAGACATGGCATACTGATGTAGTAAGATTGTGTGAGATTTTAGATGAATCTTTTTTTTTCTCTTTTTCATCAATATGTCTTGTAGGTGTCAATTTTTCTAGGCTATCTTTTCTCATAATGTCAGATGACATTTTATATGCAATCAAAAGGAAGTTAAAAATCACTTACTTGCACATTATGCCTCTTTAACTCTCTGCTGTGAGTCATTGCAGATTCCATGGCATCCTTTGAAAAAAAAAATATTATATATATATATATATATATATATATATATATATATACACATACATACATATACACACACACATACATACATACATACATACATTGTTTTATTTGTTTTTCATCTTACACCTGTTTAAAAACAATTAAATAGATTACATAGTTGCATTTGCAGTCCAGTAAAAAAAAAAAAGAATACATTAACATAACAATGTATCTGATACACTGCATGTACAGGGTGCGATGGATAAATTGTCATCTAAATTACACAAAAATGAAAATAACACTGACATCTATTTTTAAGATATATAAAACAAAATTAGACAAAAATATCTTGAAATACAAAAGAATAAATTTATTCACTAAAAATTGCCATTGGCTTCAACCATGGCCTCCAGATAACTTTGGAATCTCCTGAAACTTTTCTGGATGGTCTCCTTGTTGGTGAATGCTGCCATAATTCTTACCTTCAGTTCATCTTTAGTGTTACAAAGAATTTTGTTGGTACCTCACTCAACTGTGCCCCTTCACATAATAATCAAGAGGGTTGCAGTCTGGGAAGTTATGTGGCCAGATGTAAGAGGTGATCTGGCTGCAGAAATTATCTGACAGCTATGACTGGGTTCTCTTGCTTGTATGGCATATTACAGAGTCTTGTTGCCATATATAAGGTCTTCCAGCAGCCACCCTCTTGATCCAGGGCAGCACTACCTCAAGGCACTTGATGTAGGCCTCCATGTTGAGGCCCTGTGGGAAGATGAATGGAGGTATAACATCGCCATCACTAGTGATCACTCCAAACGCCAACATAATCACCATGAGACTAATCCAACTCTTTCCAAATCCTCTACACTGTCCTCAGATCGACATCCAAACACTCCGAAATGTTTGTATTGGAGCTTCTGGTGCAAATGCCAAACAGTACAGCATGCTGTTTCCAAATCTCTGGTAGAGTGAATTGTGTCGTGGTGCCTAACTGACCCTACTATACTGGGTAGTTGACAAAATCAAAAAACAAACAACATGCATATGTAAAATTAAAAATATAAAATGGCAACAATTTACCCATTGTACCCTGTATTTGCAGGATTTTTTTAGAAACAAAGAGTACTGATCTGTTACATAATATCAGTCCTCCTATATGGCAGTGAATGCTGGACAATCTCCTTGCAGATGAAGAAGAGACTTGAGACAACAAAAATTTGGTCTACAGAAGGATGATGAAAATATCATGGACTGAACATGTGAGCAACAACAAAGTTTTAGAAAAAAAATGAAAACAAAAAGGATACTTAATATCAGTAAGAAAGAATAAAAATTTCTAGGGAAAAAATGAGGAAAGAAGACATAGAAAATCTGATACTCACAGGACAGATTAAAGGCAAGAGAGAGGAAAACAATGCATAATCTATCTAGTGAGCTTGAGTAAATGGATGGCAGAGTAAGTTTTAAGAGAGACAACAAAAAGACAAAATTAATTAAGAGCTATAAAGGGCAGAAAGTTGTGAAGAGCCATGATTGCCAACATTCTGAAGGGACATGGCAAATAGAAGAAGAAAGATGAAATAAGTAAGTTCTATCCTAATTGAAAAATTACCTGGAGGTAACCAAGTAGATAACTATCCATCACACCTGCATTCTTTCACTTGAGTACCATTGTAAACTGAACTTGCAAATACTAACTTAGGCAAAGTGCACAGATACCATACTAATCTCAAGCAGAAATACTGATCCATAAATAATCTGCTAATTTTTGATACACTAAAGATATTTGTCTTTTTTTATGAAGTAACATGTGAAAACCAAATAATAGTAAATAATAATGGAGCTAAAGAGACTGAAATAAACTGAGAAAACATTAAGAAATTAAAAGACAAAGTTTCAATGAGATAGAAGATGAGGATTGATATTGCATTTAAATTTCAGAAGATCATAGTCGACTGGAAAGCGAAGAGCCAAAAGAGAGTTCCACAAATGAGAAATGTGAGAGCAGATATTATTAGCATAAAACTTGCACTTAACTATTTCAACAGTAAAATGAAGACGATACCTAGCTACCAAGCTAATACTGTGCTTAAATTTGTCAATTTGAGGTACCATAGTGAAAAGCTCAGCAGAACAATAGTGGAAGTATTTTGCACCTCAAAAATCTAGATCAGAGCTAGGCAGCTGATCTTTCTTCTGATCTAGCTCTAACAGCTCAATAGAGGAAGTACTGGCTTGTAACATTCAATCACTCCAAAACCAAGGTACTAACATTTCATCATCACTGAGCAGACCCTTAACTTTTACCTATGATGAACAGTTACACTCTCCATGAGGTTCCATTGCATTCATCGTCTATTGTTACTCAAGTTCATCCCAGACTGCAATTGGGACTCATATATACAATTCACTGATAAAGATGTTTCCAGCATCTTTATCAGTGAATTGTATATATGAGTCCCAATTGCAGTCTGGGATGAACTTGAGTAACAATAGACGATGAATTTTTTTTTCCTTTTTGGAAGGTTTATGAATGTTTGAAGGTTTGGATGATTTTTTTTTTCCTTTTTGGAAGGTTTATGAATGTATATGAATATTGGAAGGTAATTTTTAGAAAGAATTTACCAAGTAATTATCGATAAATCTCTTAGATAAAGCTTTAGCATTATAATACATTTTTGATTTATCTTTCTTACATCTTAATTCAGTTGATATTTTTTTTACACAATTAGTAGAAAATGGAAACAAAATGGATACTTATACTTAATATCAGGAAGAAATGGTTGGTTTCTTGTACCACTGCAGAATGTAACTGCCTCCAAGAGCCAGACCAAAAAATGCCAGTATTGTTGTCACATTTGAGCTGGAGCTGCACCATCCTCACTTTTCAGCCCTGATAGAGTTCAAAAGCATTAACGTAGCCTTGTGGGCGATAAATTATTTTCCTCCCTACAACACCTTTCCCAGGGATGAAGCATTACATTATCTTATTGCTTTTTCCATGGCAAATGTTCAGATGAGTTACAGTTCCACCATTTCAGACCTTTACAGCTAAGAAACCCCCCTCCCATGCCACATATGTAGGATTTAATCATTCTCATTCCCTTTGCATTCCATTAGTAAGAAGCAAGTTCCACTCAGACAGTTTCTTACCAAAAAAACTGGGGAAAAGACTCCCTTAACCAATTATAATGTTCTTAATCTCTTCAAGTCTAGGGTCAATTATCTATCCTACTTACTCAGTATCCTCACAATCTGCACTTACATTCTCTTCATCACCATACAACCACCACATTCAGTAACACTCTACTTGAATGGCTCTTGCATTTAATAATTACTTGCAGTTATGCTTTTCGTAGTTACTGTCGTTCTTTATGCTTTAAAATAATCTTATAGACAAGATGGTTTTTAATAGACATGTATTGAAACTCAATGGTAATCAAAATATTTAAATATTTTTAACAGGCATTTGAAAACGTGTCCCATATAAATTCAGTTGCTTAACATGTTCATCTTTTTGATGCAGAAATTTCATTTTGATGAAAAGAAAAAAAAAATCAATTATTTTAGATTTCAAACAATTTAAAACCATTTATATATTTATACCTCAAGTATACAAAGAAATGGATTTTCGAGTTATTCATTTTCTTCACAGACTACAGTCTCCAAGTAGCTATTCAAGCATAGAATGTGAAATTGAATAATTGCAGAATTATTTTTGAAAATAAAAAAATATAGATAACTGCAAGCAAACTATGCATATCAAATATATTTTTGAAATTTGAAATGTTATAAAAATGTCTTTAAAAAAAGTTAAAAATAACTTACAAAATTTACCTAATCAATGAAAAATGCTTAATATACAAGGTGTGTCCAAAAACATTCAGCTATGTTTTTTATTTTTTTTTATAATAATGTTCACCTTGTATAAGGCTCAAGAGCCACTTGAGGTAGAGAGTTACAGAGTAAGTTGGCACAATTTATGGGAATATGTGGTGGAAGATATCCGTTAACCCTAGACTTTTGAACCGGTTAGGATTGTAGTGATTAGAAAAACATCCAAATAAGAAGAGAATTGAGCAATACTAAAAAAAAACACACACAAAAAAAAAACAACAACAAAAAAAAAACAAAAAAACAAAATAGACATGGACAACAGAATGAGAACATTCTACTTTCATAGATTGAATAAAGGGTTCAGTTTGAAATTGCTTGATGGTTGTCTGGACTGACAAAACCCTGAAGAAGATTAAAAGCTATAATGGCTGAAACATTTTGATAATAAAAACAACAAACATTAGTCCAAATGTAAATAAAGTATTGAATGGTGTCAAAGTGCTGGGCTTTTATCAAAAAGAAAAGAAAATACTTTGCAATATGTATTTGGGAAAAAGACCAAGAATAAAAGACAATCAGAGAAGGAGATCTATTCAAGCACACCGTCACTTTTAAACATTTTAGCAATGAATCCATTTTACTACTTACCTCATAGCGTTTATGCTCCAGCAACCATGTGATGTGATCATCATGATCCCTGAGCTTGGCCACTACCACATCCTTTGGACTAATGAGAAAGTAAAGGCTCTCCTCCACTACACTTTCTGAAATACAACATGTTAAGGTTACTGCTTTTGACAACTGATATAAAAATGCTAAGACATGTTTTTACTTTGTCTTAATAATGGTGAGATTAGCCGTTTTCATACAGAAAACTTTTGGCATTCATTGACCAGTCTTACAGTCTATGACTGTATACACTTTTGACTACCTCATAAATGTTTATTTACAAGACCTCATCATTGCTCACACACTGGGTCCACAAAATCCTCATCATCCTTCATCCATTGCCTTGAGTCTCTTCTTCATCCTTGAGGAAATTGTCCAACTTTTGCCGTTGTAAAGAAGGACAGATGTCACATAATAGCTCAGTATCCAAAGAAATCCTCCTGTCTCGCAATATTCTGCCGAGCTTTTGGAATGCGTCCTTGGTCATTCCAATACATCTACGGATCTCGGTGTTGCACTTACTGTCCTCTGTCAAAACACTTCCCTAATATTTAAACTGTCCGCTTGATTCTAGTGTTCTTGACCTACAAATTGCATTTCAAGTTCATCTTATTACTGACGACTGTGCATTTCGTCTTCTTGTAGGTTTAGTTATTACTATTCCTGTTTTCACTGAATCTGAATTTGTACTCTCCATCCCTAGGATTGAACTCACAATTACTATGCCACCAAATTCATAGAAAATGCTTTAATCCCCAAGACTATTGTCCAGTGGCCTAAATTCCCTAAAAGCTATCCAGATCAGACACCTGAAGAAGGGTGAAGAGTACAACAGCCAAAATGTTGATAACAACAAAGACAAGGATATTAGTCTGACTTTAAATAACGTAAATATTTCATTTTCAGTTCCTTTGTTGAATGTGCACTGTGCCTTTATCAGTTTTTGTTTACACTGATGCAAATAGGGATTGAAACATTGTGGTTTGGTTTGGTTTGGTTTATTTAGTTTTATGGCATATAAACCTCAATGGGTTATTTAATGCTGACAAGATTTTTAGGAAAGGTTCATATAAATAGAATATTCTTTGTAAGAAATCATTTTGTAAATCAGGTTTCATTGATTGATTGGATTGTAACCCCCAAAATAAAACTATGAGAAGAGAGTGTAGCAGTCAGAAAATTATATTCTGTTGTAAGCTTCTTTTATAGGTGAGTGAGGAAGCAAACAGTCTAATGGAAATGTGCCTTCTTTTTCACACTGGGGTTCAAACAGTCTCTGTCTTTTAGACTGATAGGGACCACTGTCCTATAGATACCAGCTTTCTTTGTCCTGTCAGCTTTCAGATGTTTCCTTTAATAAGATATTGGCTAACAACTTATATTGCTATACTATGATAATTAAATAATCACTATAGATCAGAAATAAGTGGCGAACAAGATTTAAATTAGTATTTCTTATTCTTGGAAGCCTGTTTTTTTGCCAGCATGCCCTAGTTAATAAGCTTCATCAATAAATATAAATCAAATAAGCCATTGAGCTATATTCTTGTCTTATGATATCTGCAAGATTTTGTTTTCTATTTAGGATCATTATATTTGATTTACAATTTTTTGAGAGACTCCTTTCTTAATTTTAATTGTTTTTGTTTTCTATTAAAATAGTAGTATTAGATGTAATAATTTTTGAATATCACAGATGAGACACAGCTAATTATTACTTTTAAGACTTCTTTCTTTCATCTTATTTGTTTTGCTTTTCTATTACAATAGTAGTATCAAATGTAAGCCTTTAAATACCATAGGCAAAACACTTACCATAATTCCCCATGTATAATATGCCTTCATCGATAATATTCACACCTAAAATTGTGCTGAAAGTGTAGGAAAATGTTTCTGCTCATACATAATCCGCACTCTATAAACTGTACCTCTCCAATTTCATTACAGCCAGCATTTCTTACTCTTATTTAAAAAAATGGTTTAAACATAGAATAATATTATTCTAATTTAGTTTTATGATAATTCTTATTTTAGGGCAGTTTTTTAAATATTTTTTTCTAGTTGTGCATAATACGCACCCCAGATTTTGCTTATTAATTTTTAGAAAAAATGTGTATTATACATGGGGAATTACAGTAATTATTAAATTTTTTGACATTTTCCTTGTGTTTTATTGAAATTGTCAGGATAAGAAATTCCGAGTTCAAATCTTGTCAGAAACATTCATTATTTTTGACTGATTCTATATACTTAATAACTAAAGAATAAGTATTTAAATACTAAGCTAGTGTTGCTGTTGGTTGAAATTTATAAATTCTTTCTCTTAAAAAACATTACTAAGGAAAACAGGTTTCTCAAGTCCAGAAGCTTCCATTGCTCTTACATTACTAAAAGAAGTTTCCTTATAAACTAATCTACTTACAATTTCCTTTTTGAACTGCTTCACAATGTTGACAAAAAGAAACATATGTGTGCAAAAGTTTCCCCAACATACTTTTTTTATTTTTAATTAGAGACTGAATACACAGGAGAAAACCAATCTTTTTATCTTTGTTTTGTAATAAAAACTTGCACATAGCTAATAGAAGAATGAAGAAGGCTTATACATAGATGATATTTTTACACTGTTGATTCACCTAATATAAGGCCTAAGAGCCAGTCAAGTTAGCGGATTACCGAATGAGGTTGTTGAAAGTAGATAATAGTTGACCCGAGACTTTAAGATGTTAATATTGTAGTAATCAGGGAAACATCCTCTGTAGCAATTATTAGAAAGAAGTTGTTCAGCTTCCTTCTTACCAATGGAATACAAAGGAAATGAGGATGATTCTATTCTGTAGATGTGGTATGTCAGGTCTTAGCTGTAAAGGCTTGGAGTGGAACATCTTACATCATAACATTTGCCATGGAAATAATTATATATTAGCAAGAAGCTTGTGACATTTCATCTATGGGGAAGAGGTTGTAGGGGGAAACTAATTCATCACCTACAAGGACACTTTTGAATTCTATCAATACTGGAAAGTGAGGACTGGGCAACTCCAGCCTGGATATGGCAGCAATATCCAGTTTTTGTTCTGATCTGACTCTTTTAAAGATGAAGTATGGCAGGAGTAGCTAGATGCTTTCTGGAATGGTACAAGGAACCAACCATTTTTCCAGCTACTTCAGCAATGGATTGTATATAGGCATCCCTCTCGAGGTCTAGGGGGAACTTTCGTCCCAATAGACGTTCAAAGAATGGCGCCTCAATTATTCATTATGAAAAGAGAAGATATTTAATTTAAATAAAAATCATCAAAACAATTATTGATAACTGGAGAATCATTCATTTCAAGATGTACTTACCCAAATGATAATCAAAACAGCGGTATTCTTCAAAGGCTCGGAATGACAAGGCATCATCTGAAATCTCCTCATAGTAATTAGTCCCAGGTTCCCAGATTTGGAGATGAGGCCGATCAGCAATATATTTATTTGGTTCCTGAAATGGGAGGAAAAAAAAGTAATTGAAAAATATTAAAAAAAAGAAATATCAAAGTAAAGAAAAAAAGAACAGACTGATACAAGTGGATGCTGAAAAGTTCTTGGTTTTCCAAAAATCAATCTTCTGATGTCTGGACATTGAAATACCAATTTAATTTTTGATAAAGATTCAATTGTTTTTGTTTTATTCTGTCATTAAAATGTTTATCAGCAATTGACTTGTAGCCTTGTGCAACACTAATATAGATATGCCATTAAAAATAACCAAATCAAACCAAAATTATGTACAAAATATCTGTAGTTGAAACTATTGAATACAAACTATATATAGCTGAAACCATGTTTATGACAGTCCTGACCTATGATGATTTATGTTTACGATGCAATTTGTTTTTGTTTAATATCACCCCAAGCAAGGTGGGAATGCCACAGGAGCAATTGAGGAAAGGACAGAAGTTGAACAGGATTCAAGATGACAGAAGATGGCGATTGACATTGCATTTAAATTTTTGAAGATTGTAGTTATCAGGGAAGCAAGTAAATGGTAGGGAGTTCCACAGGCAGGGGGTGTAAGAAAAGAAACGGTTGGAGTAGAAGTGGCAGTTGCATTTAGTTATTTCAACAGTAAATGGGTGGGACCTAGATGCCAATCTAGTAGCACACTTAAATTTATGTGGTCGAGGCACCAGGGAAAAAAGTTTGTCAGAGAAATTGCCATGAAAATAATTGTGGAAAAGACAGAGGGAAGCCATGTCATATCTGTGAGAAATTGATTGAAGTAGAGATATGCCAATCTCCTCTTGTTTCCTAGTTGTATGCCATATTGAATTGTTGTTCATTCACTCTCTTTCATTTGTGTTGTGTTTTTGGAAACTTATTTCCTTTCATAATGGCACCTAAGCATAGTACAACCTCTTCTGATGGTGATGATTTGAAAAAAAATAGGAGAGCCATCACTATGGAAGTGAAATTACAGTACATTCAGATGTACATGGAAAAATTGCATTATAAAGTATCATAAAAAAAAAAACTGTCATGAGTTGAGGACCCCCTGTAATTATGTACAAAATCTTTTGATTTCAGCATTAAATAACCCTTAGGAGTTGATTAACAAACCAAACCAAACCAAAGCAATGTGTAATAGTAAATAACCTAGTCATGAAGACCATATGACGACTGATACCCAGACAGGACATTCTTTACTTGTGACCTTATGTCAGACTAAACATAAAGAAATAGTACAAAAATTTGGTTGTTTTCCAATATTGAACCTCACTACTATTAGTTTTTTTATGGAATAAGAAATGTAAACAATGGTTGAACAAAGATGGGATCCTTTTATATAGATTAAATTCTGCTTTTTGCTCCCTTAGCACGACCATTGCGCCCTGCCGATACCTCATAAATAATGGACTATTCCATTTTGATGCATGGAAAGATGGAAATGATATATCAGAGACACTGCTTAGTTCCAGTGAAAAAATAAAAGAAAGAAAGAAGATAGAAGTGTTTTACCTGTTTCAGTGAAATGGAAAAAATTGACAATTTAAATTTTTTCCTTTGTACCTCCTTACTTCTTAAAATAAAGACCAGCATTCATATTTGTGATTGTTATTGCAATATTTTGTTAAAGTTGTTAAGCTCAAATATTTAACAATGTGACAGGGAAATTTCCACAGGTATTTTATTGTCACTGATTTTGCAAGAAGCTTATTTAATCATTAACTTAAGAATTAAGATTCATCAGAAAATGAAAATAAGAGAACTGCAAAATTTTTGTGAGTATTTCTAGTATAGATTATAATGCTTTCTAACAATACCAATTTTATGGTTATGAAAAAGGCACTTTTATACAAGCTTAGGAATAAGGAAATATAAAAGAGAGGGCCCATTTCATTGTTATTCTTCTCAAAGATAAATTCAGCAAAGATCTAGTTTTAGTTTATGAAATGAATTAAGAGCATTGTAAAGTTTCTAAAGGGAAACTCTTTCTATAAGAAAGCACAAGAGAAAAACACAGTCTTGTTTCCAAGGAACAGACAAATTCATTTAATTAACATTTGCACATGTAAGATCTGATCCATGTAGAAAAAGGTAAAAGTAGAAAGTCTATTTTATTCATCTGCAGCCTTTCAGGAACATTATCGTAATAACATTGCAAAATCGTTATTAATGGAAATGATTAGATTACTGACACGGCTTCAAATTACTGCCACAGGGCACAAGTTATTGTTATTGCTATGTCTTCAGATCTTTAGTTTCTACTCTATTTCACAGTAAAGGAAATAATACATTTACATGAAAAGTAGATCATTGCTGATAAACATTTTTATGGCAGAATAAAACAAAAACAATTAACTCTTATCAAAAATCAAATCAGATCAAAATCCTTAATTACACGGATCAGTAGAATACTAGTTTGTTAAAAATCTATATATTAACCCATTTATACCAACTGTAAAATCTGGTATTAATTAAAGGCTTGTAAGTTTTATAATTAAAAAACACAGTTGGAGCTCTTTCTTTGATATCAACATCTGCTGCCAGACCTTATACATAGTTTAATCCTAAGCATTAACAATCTACATAATAGTTATCTGAAAGGTAAAATAGCATAGTTAATAGTTACCATAAAGAAGTAAACTATAAATCTTCAATCAACTAGGCTATTGTACCATGGGACAATCCTGAGTCTTTCATTCCTACCTGCTATTGACACTGCTGCTTCTATTACCCTTGGCTGCATTCATCACTGCTTGTATTTTCTTACTGCTGCTGAATCCTTGCAGTTATTTCTCTTCTTTTATTTATAATGACTCTTATCTGGTATTTATTTCTATGCTAGGCCTACTGAGGAATATGATTCCTTCAGACATCTGACTGTTACCCTCAAGTAAAAAAAGTGAAGGAGGACACAAAAGTATGCACGCATGCACACACAAGTTTAGCTGGTTTTCATTCCTCTCATCAGATCTGTATCAAAATGCTGATAATATCATAAGTTTGTCTTCTGTTTTTTGTTTTTCAGTTCACCTTTTACTGCAGCTATAATAATTTTTTGTTGTTCTTTTCAGTTTGGTTTTAATTACAATTATGAAATTTTTTACCACTAGTAAAATATATAGACTTGTAAAAGAATCTGGTATTAATTATAGGTTTAATAAAAATCCAGTTATAGGTTTCTACCTATAAACCATTAATGACCACTTGCAAAAACCATAAGTGATGAGCCAGACCAACAGAAGATGATCAGCACCAAACAAATGCTTCAGAATAACAACGAATCTTCAAATATAACATCAGGTAGAAGCAGAAGGGTTGTGGAGGACTGGAAAACTGTCATGGTCTGTCTCCTTTATATCAAGAGCTTGTTGGAAAGAATTCTGCAGTCTATACAACACCAGGACAATATTCAGGAGCAGCTCAACCGTATGGTGTAATCTTTGCTGAGTCAACCCTAACACAGAGGAGAACCAAGAACTGTGTGCATTTCATCCCTTGCAGTTACCACAAAGAATACACAGGTGAAACTAGCTACCCCATAAAAGTAAGGATGGCAGATCAATGAAAAGCCATAATTGGAATGAGACAATGAAATCAGGTATAGCTGATCATTTATGAAGAAAAAAAAAGGGGTGGTTACCAACTCCTGTAGAATGAAGTAAAAATACTAGACGTACACTGAAGAGTTAGACATCTGAAGGAATCACGCTAGGTTATCAAAAGCCAACTCAGTAGGCTTAGTATAGAAATAAATACTATACGGGAGGCATTAGTAAATAAAGGAAGAGAAATAACAGTAAGGATTCAGCAGCAATAAGAAAATTGAAGCAGTGGTGAATGCAGTCAAGGTAATAGAAACAACAGTGTCGGTAGCAGGTAGGAATGAAAGACTCAGGATTGTCCCATAGGATAATAGCATAGTGGATTAAAGCATTGGTTCATGAATTTGGTGATATAATAATTGTGAATTCCTGGTTCAGCAAGTACAAACTAAATGGAATGAAAACAACCTACCCTATAGATTAAAGAAAAGGTTTAGTACAAAATTCCTTGAAGGTAACTTCGATTGATAGACAATTGACTGATTGATTGTTGGCTGATTTTGTTAAGCAGCATATCAACTTCTATGGGTTATTTAATGCCAGAATCTACAGATTTTGAACACATTTTTATGACTTTAACTAAATATATTTTGAAGACAATTGTATGCTTTCATCTAGATAAAATGTATTATGGTAACTTTGCTTTAAATATGTATTGTTGCTAATTTTACTATAAATAGACACTGTCAGTAATTTTACTATAATAGTTGGTTTATGTGTTATTTAATGTTGAAATCTAAATATTTTGTACATAGTTTTATGCTTTCAGAGTAAAGGTATGTTTTTTTAGATATATATTTTGTAGACCATAAATGTATTGTTGGTAATTTTGCTAAAAAAAGTATTTTTATATTTTTTTAGTGTTGCATTGATTGTCGTTTTGCTATAAAAATGTATTGTTGCTCATTTTAATATATATATATGATGGGCTGTTGATTGGGGGTTCACTATTTGCCCATCGTTGGGACCCTAACAAGTGCTAAGACTCCAGGTCAGGGTGAACCTGGGAACAACAGCAGTTGTGACATGGTTCTACATGACTCAAAATCTCCCGATTGAAGGCTTTGCTACCAGATATAGTTTATCATCATAAACAGGATGAGAGAGACATTTAAAAAAGGTAGAAGGGTACAATAACTGAAAAGTAAGGCTGGCAGATCAATGAAAAGCGATAATTGGGATGACAATGAAATCAGGCATAGCTGATCATTTATGAAGAAAGAAGGGGTGGTCACCATCTCCTGTAGAATGAAGTAAAAATACTAGACAGTAAAGAACACTGGAGAGTCAGACATCTGAAGGAATCACGCTAGGTTATTGTTATGGTCCAGGTTAGGACCAAGGAAGAACAACACGAACACAAGAGTAGAAATAACGAAGGTATATTACACGA